AGGTCTCACCAAGTTGCCCAGCGGGTCTCGAACCCGCGGGCTCAGGCAATCCACTCACCTTAGCCTCCCAAAGTGCTGGGATTACAGGCTGGGCCACCGAGCCAGTCAACAATACACCTATTGAGATGTTTTTTCCACTGCTTAAAGCAGTTTCTGAACTTGCCAATTTTGATAGCCTTTAGTGTTTTTGCTTTTTTTGTTTTTTCTTTTTTCACTTCTTTCACACTGGCAAAATGTTTCCCTTTGAGGACTTTTTTTCATCAGGTGAAACAAAAAAAATCACTTTGGGGCAAGATCAGGTGAATTAGGGAGGGTGGGGCACAGGGGTCATGCCTTTTTTTTTTTTTTTTTTGGTCAAAAACTGCTGAACTGGGCAGGTGTGTTGTCATGGTAGAAGAGCCAGTCACCTGTTTGCCACAATTCAGGATGTTTCTTCCGCAAATCATGAAGCAACCTTCTCAAAACTTCCAGATAAAAACTTTGGTTGACTGTTTGATCTGGAGGAACAAACTCTGAGTGTACTACAAGGGGCCTGCCCTCCAAAAGATAATTCTGGGGTTTTTTTGGGTCCCCCCTCGTATGTTTATTAATCAATAATGGTATAAAGGTCTGTCTTCCCTGGGACTATGAGTTCTTGAGGGCAGGGATGGGATCTATGTCCCAGACTGGATGACCCAGGACCGGCTTCCCCAAGGCCACCCCACTGCCACCCCTCCCTACCTCCTCACCTCCTGCCACTGTCCCCTGCTTCAGTGGTACCCATTGGTGAAGGCTGTGGCAATCAAAGGGCCCTGAAAACAAAAGAATTAGACTTCTAGGTTCCTAGGGAAAGCCCAGGGGCTCCTTCTCTCTCCACAGGAAACTGGAGGTGAGATCCAGACCCCTCCCTACCCACTGCAGGCCTGTTATAAGAGTCTCTGGGGTAGGCCTGGGAATCTGCACATACCCAGCACCCTGGTTAAAACCGGGGCACCTGAGCTGGAATCTAACCTCCAAGCAGGCAGAGTGGTGTGTGTTTCATTTGCACAACCCTAGAGCTCACAATGCCTGGCATAGAGGGTGATGACTAAATGCCCACTGAATAATACCCACATTGTTCCCTCTTGACAACACTTTCTTTCCCCATTCATTCTCCCTCACCCTCCTTTTGCCCTCACAGACAGATAAGTCCTTTCCCTTCCCCAACTTTGGGGTTTTCCAAGGTGAGGGATGAGGTGGAGGCCGCCAGGCCTGGCCACTCACCCCAAGACTGTGGCCAAAGCCGGTGCTGGGGGCGGGGCTGGCGGCACTGATGTAACTGCTGACCCCTGAGTCCTGGTTGGCCGCCCCATAGAGCTCGGCCATGGGGCCGGGGCTGGTGGTCCCCAGGAAGCCCCCTGTGCGGCTGGGAGTCGAACCTGGAGGGGGAGCCATCGTCCAGGGGTGAGAGCCTGACAACCCAGAAAGAAGACGGTGATAGCCCCGGCGCCCACTGCCACCCCACAGCACCCACTCAAACCTCTTCCACCCACCCTGACTGTGGCCCCCACTTCCCCGCAAGCCCTGTGGGCCCACTCCCTGGAGATCTCTCCAAGTCTATCATCTAACTATCCCTAGCCCACATTCCGATGACCTCTTGTCTGACCACTCAGCAACCTCCCTTCTCGAGCCCCTTCCAACCTTTCCCCACCTGGCAGCCAAGGGCATTTGCTAAACCCTGACTCCCAGCCCTCTGCTATTTGAAATGTCTGCTGTTTCCCTAGCACCCAGCCCTTCCTCCCTCCTTCTCCCTGCTACCCACGTCTGCACTGCCCCATATTCACTGGCCTGGTCACATGCTATTCCCTCAGCCAGAAAGACTTTTTCTCCTCTCTGCCTTCAGACCCAAAGTGGAAAGGCCTTCTTCCCGGAAGCCTTCCCTGGCCTTCCTCAGAGGCCCAGCTGGGAGTTTCTCTGGTATCTGGATTCTCCTGGCAGCACAACTTTCATCCATCAGGACCACTGCCTTTTCAACACCCGCTGCCCCCACCAGCCTGTAGCTCTGGAGGGCAGAGACCCTGTCAGTCTCGCTCCTGGCTGATTTGCCAGTGCTGGCACAACACTCAGCACAGAGGAGGTGATCAGTGAGTACTTGAGAGAATGAATAAAGGAGTCCCTTGGCAAAGGAGTAGCAGTGGCCATCTCCCCTATCCTCGGGACTTCTCTGCTCTCGATAACCCCCGATCTCACTTCTGGCACCCCAAAAGTCCTCACCTGTTCCTCGAACCACAGCTGCCGCCGCCGCCGCCGCTGCCATTGGTCCATACGCAGTGAGAGGAATGGCTGAAATGGAAGGTATGGACACATCAGTGTGGCTGGTGAGGGGCGGAGGTCGATAAACGGGGCCCCGACCTTCTGGACAGAGTCTCTCCAGCCTGACTCCACCTCAGAGGGGTCAGTACAGCCCCAGGGTTGAAGCAGGAAGAGCTACCTTGGCCACCGTCTGTGTCCTGACCCGCGCAATGAATGGAGAAAGGCAGGCAAGAGGCCGGCTTCCCAGTGAGCAGCTCAGCCTCAGTTTCTCTCCTGGATTCCAAGAACACACCTGAACAACCTAAAACTCGTTGAGGCTGGGGACAGGACACCCAACCCTGCTGCAAGTGCTGCCGGCCACTGTCCCCTTCTCCAGAGTGCCCTTGGAAGAACAGGAGCCATCTGGCCTAGAGGTGCCCAGGAGGGAGGCTCTGTCCCCCTTTGCAGCCCCAGCCACTGCAGCTAGTGATTGATGGACCAGGGGGACAGAGAGCTGGACCTATTGCCTCCAAGTGGGAGAGACTCTGGTGCAACTCAGGCGCCAGAGCTCCCTGTGGGGTTAGGCTGAGGCTAGCTGCCAGCAGAGGCCACGGCTTCACTGCATGCCTTCTGCTGCCTGTCCTGTTTCCCTCACTCCCTTCCCTGAGTGCACCCCGCAGGGCCTCCCCGACCACCCAGCCAGAAGCGGCCACTCCCTCCCCTAAACCCCTGCAGTCCCTCTTCTGTCATCCCCTCTTTAAACACAGGCACCTTGCTAATCCCTTGTGTGCTGTCTGCCTCCACCTTGCCTTGTACACAGCAAGTGTTTAATAACTGTCCGCCGAAGGAGGAAGGTACCTCTGCTTAAATAACCAGCTGGTTTGAGCCTGGAGCTGCCCAGGGCTGAGAGATGATCGCCCCCTACTGCTTAGCTCTGCCCACGTGCAGAGCAAAAGTCTGTAGAGTTTGCATGTGGCAGCCTCCAAAACACCAGGCTCCCACCCCTAGATGTCCCCCTTGGGGCTGTTGAGGTGACCTTGGCCCTGGCTAGAACTAGACTTGTGGTTAGGGACCCCAGACACAAGGCACTTGAAAATCTTTGGGAAGGCCATTGGATTGGGGGATTCAAATCCAGGACTGAGATTCCCATACCCTGGAGTCTTTCCTAAGAACTTCATACTGGGGACTCTTCACACGTCACCTCCTCTAGGAAGCCTTTCCTGACTACTCTTGCTAAGGCAGCCTCTTGTCCCCAAACCTAATGCCTTAGCATATTTCCCTGCTTAATTTTCCTTATGGAACTTCTCACAGTCCCAAAATATCTTTTTGGTTTTTTTTTTGAGTGGGAGTCTCACTCCATCGCACCCGGCCACTGCAGCCTCGACTTGCTGGGCTCAGGCCATCCTTCTGCCTCAGCCTTCCAAGTAGCTGGAGCTACAGGTGCACACTACCATGCCCAGCTATTTTTTTAAATTGTAGAGAGAAGGTTGCACCGTGTAGCCCAGGCTGGTCTCGAACCCACTGGCTCAGGCAATCCTCTCGCCTTGGCCTCTCAAAGTGCTGGGATTATAGGCTTGAGCCACCATGCCCAGCCCCAAAATATCTTCTTTACTTGTTTGTTTACTTATTTATTGCTGTCTCCATTTTCTACCTTGTTTATTTCATTCACCGTTGTACCCCCAGTGCCTGGAAAGGCATCTGGCACAATAAATATGTATAAAATACATGCAAAAAACACCCCAGTCTCCTTTTCTCCAAGGCAAAAGAAAATAAGAAAGTTCTGACCCTAGACGCTCAAGTATTGCTGAGCCTTGAAGCCTCTCCCTCTCCTGCCAAGATATCTCCAAAGGGGACATTTCTTCCTTCAGTTCTTTACGACCAGGGGCTGAGTTCCGAGGTCTGTTTTTTGGCCCATTTAGGCATTTCTGCAGAATAAAGTCAGAGTAGCCAACCCAGCAGGTGCGTACCACACTGTTAAGAATTACTTGTTTGTATAATAACTATTTGTTTCCCTCTGTAGACTACAAGTTCTGAGACGGCAGGGTCTGCCTCTATCTTATCCCGGCTCTGCCCCCAGGGTCTGGCAGAGTGTCCCTTGTACAGGAGGTACTCAACACACAGTTCTTTAAGAGAGGCAGGCACTCTCTCGCTCTGTCACCCAGGTTGGGGTACAGTGGCACAATCATAGCTCACTGTAGCCTTGAATTTCTGGGCTCAAGCGATCCTCCCATGTCAGTCTCATGAATAACTGGGATTACAGGTATATGCCACCGTGACTGACTTTTAAATTACTTGCAGAAACAGGGTTTTGCTATATTGTCCTGGTCTCTAACTCCCGGCCTCAAGTGATCCTCCTGCCCCAGCCTCCCAAAGTACTGGGATTACAGGCATAAGCCACTGCTCCCAGCCCTTGTAGTTCTTAAATGGGTAACAAGGACCTCCTTTCAGCCCCCCACATCCTCCAACTGCTGGTCAGGAAAGAGCTATCACCTCCATCTCTAGGGATCTCCTCCCTCCCTTTCCTTCACCCCATGTTTCTCTCTCCCCTCTCCTACTTTGGGGAAACTCTGAACACCCCTTGGAAGGAAGGTTTCATCGAAATCAGCACTCATGCTCACGTCCTTTGCATATGGTCGGGTTGGGGGGAAGAGTCTAGGGTGGGGTGGGGGGAGAAGCAGGTTTGACAGAGAAACCCCTCACAGCCCACCCCGTGTGCTCACAGTCCCCCTAGTTCAGATCCTGCTCTGCAGCTGAGCCAGCTGGCCCCAGTGAAGGCTCCAGTCAGAACCAGCCCCCGGTCACCAAGCACCTTCATCCCACTTGCCCTGAACTTACCAAGGGGCGGCTGTAGAGCTGGATTCGGCCCTTGAATATGTTTCATTTGGTGCACTATATACACATAGTTTGAGTTGGAGTCTCACTCTGTTGCCCAGGCTGGAGTGCAGTGGCATGCCACCGCAGCCTTGACCTGCTGGACTCAGGCGATCCTTCCACCTCAGCCTTCCATGTAGTTGGAACTACAGGCATGCGCCACCATGCCTGGCCAGTTTTTTGATTTGTTACAGAGACGAGGTCTTGCCAAGTTGCCCAGGCTGGTTTTGAATCCCTGGGCTCAGGCAATCCTCTCACCTCCGCCTCCCAAAGTGCTGGGATTACAGGTGTGAGCCACCACGCCTGGCACAATATTTTAATTATTTGGAATCTGTTGCCAACATTTACAAATAATTGGGAAATTCATACAAAAGCAAGAGCCTAGTTGCTAGCTTCTTTGGAAAAATGAGACCTGAGTATACTGAGTCTGCATCTCCCCCTGGCAAAAGTCTATGGGCACCGAGTGCAGGAATGCCCATTCTAGTGTACAGAAGTCCCCACCTGGCCCACTTTGCAATGAGTTTGAGACCCTGGCTTGTTCACTGCCAGATCCCAGAGCCTCCATGGAGCCTGGCACCCGGGAGGTGTTAGATAAATATTTGCCAAATGGATGAATGAGTGACTTTGCCTCCATCTGCTTGGCTTGGTCCTATGCCCCACCCTTAAGGGCCATGTAACCACCCAGACTGGCCAGTGCCCAGGCACAGTCTGCTGTGTCCCCACAGCGAGAAGGCTGGCAGGGAGGAGAAAAGGGTCCCGCTAGCTTTCCAGGAAGGACCCTGAGCCCCTTCTCTTTCTCCCGCTGTGGCCTGTGAGGTATACGAAATCCGAGCGACTGACCTGTAAGCTCGGGGAGGACTGGGGCGCTCGGGAGAGGGGTCCGCTCTACACGGAATTCTAAAATGAAACGTAAAACAGCTTAGGAAGAAGCAGGGGAGGCCCCTTGGACATGGCCCAGGGAGGACAAATGCACCCACAGGGACACTGGGTGAGGGGACAGGCCATGCAGAGGGCTTAAGAGCTGGGAATGGGAGCGCATGGTGCCCGGCAGGCAGAGGAGGGCAAGGAAACAGACACAGGGAAGAGAGACAGAGTGACAGAGAGAGAGAGAGAGAGAGAGAGAGAGAGAGAGAGAGAGAGAGGGCAGAGTTGCCACCTATACCCTAGGCATGGGGCAGGGCTAGAGCCACGATTCCAGATGTTTCTTAAAAGGCTTAAGATTGCACCAAAAACATCTCCTTCCAGAATCTCCTCTTTTTCTTTTCTTTTTTTATGGGGAAGCAGTTTGATGAAAAGCGATGGCCCTAGAACAGGTCAGGCTTGGGATCTGTCACTTCCTAGTTGTGTCATCTTAGCGAGTCATTCTTCCTCTCTGAACCTATTTCCTCATCTATAAAATGAGGATAATCATGAGATTACTGGGAGAATGAGGTAACACAATGTACAAATGATTCTAAGCTGAAGAGATCTGGGTAGAGGATGCAAGTACTTAGGGACCCTTCAAATAAATAAGATCCAAAAAATCAAAACATAAAAAACCTTGCAAAAGGTTTTTTTTTTGGGAGTTGGAATCTCTCATTCTGTCACCCAGGCTGGAGTGCAGTGGCACGCTCATGGTCACCGCAGCCTCGACCTGCTGGGCTCAGGTGATTCTTCCATCTCAGCCTTCCAAGTAGCTGGAACTACAGGCATGTGCTACCATGCCCGGCTAATTCTTGAGTTATTGTAGAGATGAGGTCTTGCCAAATTGCTCAGGCTGGTCTCGAACTTGTGGGCTCAGGCAATCCTCTCACCTCGGCCTCCCAAGTGCTGGGATTATAGGTGCAAAGGTTTGATATTTGATGTTTCAAAGAAAATAACATTGAATAGTCATTAAGGAATAGTCCAGAACTTTGCTGGGCTTCCTGACACTTATTTTATTTTTTTTGAGTTGGAGTCTCACTCTGTTGCCCATACTGGAGTGCAGTGGCACACTCCTGGCCACCGCAGCCTCAACCTGCTGGGCGCCGGCGATCCTTCCGCCTCAGCCTTCCAAGTAGCCGGAACTACAGGTGTGTGCTACCATGCCCAGCTAGTTTTTTGATTTATTGTAGAGACGAGATCTCGCCTAGTTGCCCGGGTGGGTCTCGAACCCGCGGACTCAGGCAATCCACTCACCTCAGCCTCCCAAAGTGCTGGGATTACAGGCTGAGCCACCACACCTGGCCCCGACACTTATTTTAAGGTCTAGTGTTATTTTCGTGCTGAATTGCAAATGCAATTGGTGATTATAATGCTTCTGAATTTTTTTTTCAGCATTTAGGGTCTCAGCATAGCACCCTGTCTGGACTTGAAAGGGCTCAGCATGGCATCTGGTCATTATAAGTGTGTCCATGAAGACACGACCAATACTGGCCCTCAGAGAGGCCCCCCATCACAAGCCCGATGCCCTCCTTGGGTGAAGTGGCAACGCTGGAGTTGGGTGGGGAGGAGAGAAAGGCAGGAAGCAGGCAGAGAATGGCCTGGGAGAGAACCATGCCATGCAGAGCCACATTGGAAGCCCCTGCCCCCAGTTTCCGGGGAAGGGGGTGAGGAGGGGATGGGTGGGGAGAGGCCCTTCTTCCTCAGACATGCCCTTCCTTCTAAGCCTCCAGCAGGCAGATCCCCAGCCATGCAACCCCAGACACCGCCCTGAGGAGTCTGACTGCCCAGGAACTGGGGACATGCTGGCAGCAGAGGGACACCAAGCAGGACTTACCGGGGAACTGGTAGGTATAGCCAGGGGCAAGCCCTGTATAACTCCGGCTGGCATAGGTCGTGGCTTGGAAACCCGGGTAACCTGATGGGGCAAGGGAACAGTGTCAGATGCTGCACCCACAACTCAACTCATGCTCACTGGGGAGGGATCTGAGCCACTCATTTCCCTCTCACCATCCCATATTATGAGTAACAGTCAGTTGCAAATATCTTCTGCATGCCAAGTCCCGCGCTGAGCACACTGCACACTTCATTATCTCATTAAGCCTCACAAACACCCTAAGAGCTAAGTACTATTAGGGACTCCATTTTACAGACAAGGAAGCTGGGGATTGGTGACACTTACAGGCTGAGAAGAATCCAAAGCCCTTCGTGCTCTGGGTCCTGCTTCCTTCCTGTCCTCATCTGTATTCTGCCCCTCCCTCCCTCTGCTCCAGCCACACTGGCTTCTTTGCTGTTTCTCCGCTTTGCTAAGCTTGTTCCCACCTCAGAGCCTTTGCACATGTTGTTGCCTCCACCTGGAACACTCTTCCTCAGATTGTTGCATGACTGAGTCCTTCTCACAGTGTTAGACTCCGAGATGTCGTCCCTTAGGAGTTCTCCTTCCCATCAGTTACAATCTCTATCATGTCACCCTGGTTTTTCTCTTAGCTCTGATGGCCATTATCTGAACTGATCTCATGATTTTTTTTTTTTTTGCGTCAGAGTCTCACTCTGTTGCCCAGGCTGGAGTACAGTGGCACAATTACAGCTCACCACAGCCTTGATCTCCTGGGCTCAGGTGATCCTCCTGCCTCGGTCTCCCAAATAGCTGAGTAACTGGGACTATAGGTGGGTACCACCATGCCTGGATAATTTTCTCATTTTTTTGTAGAGGAAAGGCCTCACTATATTGTCCAGGCTGTTCTCAAACTCCTGGGCTTAAGCAATCCTTCCACCTCAGCCTCCCAAAGTGCTGGGATTACAGACGTGAGCCACCATGCCCAGATCATGATTTCTCTTAAGTGCTGATGTTCTGTTTTCCCAAAGAAAAATCATATCGTTAGTGACAATGGTGCAATTTAGATTCAAAACTCAGATCTAACCAATCCAAGCCTCCTAACCACTAATCTCACTATTTTGTAAGGAATTTCTCCCCCCCCACCTTTTAAATGGGGCTGAAACGGACTCATAAATAATCTTAAAAGAAAACGTCCTCAATTTTCTAGGTGATGAAAAAGACGAGACAACTAAATCTGACCCATCTGATTCTAACCTAGATCCTGTCTGGAAAGTAAAAATATGCTATAAAGAGCACTAGTGGAGTCAATTGATAAAATCGGAAAATAGAAAGTAGACTAGGTAAGAATAGTATATCAATATAAATTTATAAAATTGGTAATGTTTAAACTGTGGTTACATGGAAGACTATCTCTAATCTTAGGAAGTATTTATGGATGAAGGGCTAGGAAACTTATAACTAACCCTCAAATGATTCAGGGACAAGTTAGAAGTATGTGTATATGTACACATAGGTACATGTATACACACACATATATACACACAGATTGACACTGATAAAGCAAATAGGGCAAAATGCTAACAACAGTTGAATCTGAGAAAAGGATGTATGGATGTTCTTTGTACTATTTTATTTTTGCAACTCTTCTGAGAGTTTGGAATTACTTTTGAATACAAAGTTGAAGAAAACAACCTCAAGGAAGACTGCCTCTTTTGACGGGACTCCCCTCCCCCCATGTCTGTGATCCCAACCCTGACCCTTGGGCCAATACCATGATCTTCTCCTCCGAATTCCCAGGGGACCTCCATGTGCAGTCCTCCCCCATGCCTGGCATAAAGATCCCCTTGCACTGTTCTCTTTCTGTGTGTACACATCTTATCTCTCCAAGGAGACCATGAGTTTCCTGGGGGCCAAGCTCAGATTGATCACCCTGAGGCCTGGACCCAAAGCATGGCTGACTCCCTGTCAACTTTTAAGACTCATCATACCCTTCACTTCCTCCAGGTGGATTTAAGTGCCTCCTTGGACCTCCCATGGCTTCCGACCACTCTGTGGCAGCAATACCCACTTACTCCTGTCTCCCACTTGAGGGAGAGCCCCACAAGAGCAAGTCCTGCCTCTCAGAAACTGCTCAGTTACTATTAGTTGAATGATTAACAAGAGGTAGGCTTTTTTTTTTTTTTTTTTTGCCTTCCCAAGGGTTTCAGGCCTTTGCAAATACTGTTCCCTCTGCCTGGCTGGAACACTTTTTTCCTTCCCTTCTCCCCAGCCCTCCCATAAATGGCTCCTACTCAACTCACAGACTCAAATGTCACTTCTCCAAGTCTTGGTCAAGTTCCCTATGACCACACTCCCTTGGCACTCTACACTTCTGTCTTAAATCTATTTAGCTTCTTATTTATCTCCCCTGCCAAGTCAGAAAGCTCCAGGAAAGTCACTGTTGTAATTCCTGGCACAGAGCCTGGCACATATAGTTGCTACCATTTACTGGATGAAGTGATGGATGGAGGAATGATGGGATGGATGGGTGAGGGAAGACAGATTGACAGTTTACATGGTTGGACCTTTCTTCTGACCACCACCAGGGGGCAGCACCCCCCAACCAAACCACCCCACCTTGGGTAGGACTGTCCCACTGGACAGATCCCCAGTCCTCACTCCCTCCCAGTGACTCAGACAGGAGGAGGGCAGACCACAAAGGAGGTGCGGCACCCACGCAGCCCCTGCTAGCCCCAGGAGCAGTTCTGGCAGAAAGAAGCCACAGGCGCAAGCCGCGCACATACCCAGCATGCCAATGCCCAGCATGAAGGCGTCCATTCCATAGGGCATGACTCGAGACCTTCCCCGGGCTGAGCCCGTTGGCGACATCACCTCCTTTGGCTGAGCTTTCTTACATTCCACCTGGAATAAGACCCAGCAGTCAGTTCTTTCTGCAGACCTAGGGTCACTGCCCCTCCTGTTCCCTAGTCGGCCTCTTTACTACTACTTTCAGAGTTACTATTGATGGAGCGTTCGCTCTGTGCTAGGCATCACATAAATGGCTTTGTGTGCAATAATTCAATGAAAGCTTATGTCGACCCTTTGATGAGCAGCTGTTGGCACTTCCATTTTACAGATGTGGACACTAAGGCTCAGAGAGGGGAAGTCAACAGCCAGGTGACACTGCCTCCTTGTCTAGATTTTCAAGGTGTGGGAGAACTGGCTCTGCCCCACTTGGAGGCCGCTCTGCCTGCCTCTGAAACCTCAGAGCTCCCCTGCCTGGCTTCGCCTGGGCCCCCAGTCTCTCGCCATACCTCTACCCCATCCAATCCCAGCTCACCATTTTGTTGTTGATTTCATGGAAATGGATTTCACACACTTTCTCCACAATATCCTCACTCTCAAATGTGACAAACCCGAACCCTGGAGGTTGGACAAGGGGCAAAGGCAAGGTCAGAACCAGGGCTCATAGTCAAAACTCAATGCCATATCAATATGCCCACCCCTCTGGTGACTGTCTGAGAATTAAAGAAAACGCTCTGCCCACAGCCTAGGAGCCTCTCAACTACACAGAGACAGAATTTTAAGTTCCAAATTACAGATGAGCAAAACAAGACTCAGAGAAGTGAAAAACTTGCCCAAGGTCACATGGCAAGTTAGAAAGTAGAAGAGCTAGCCGGGCTTGGTGGCTCAGCCTGTAATCCCGTGCCTTGGGAGGCTGAGGTGAGTGAATTGCCTGAGCCTGCGGATTTGAGACCCGCCTGGGCAACTTGGTGAGAGCTCATCTCTAGAATAAATCAAAAATTTGTAGTTCCAGCTACTTGGAAGGCTGAGGTGGAAGGATTGCTAGAGCCCAGCAGGTCGAGGCTGCAGTGGCCGGGAGCGGCCACTGCACTCCAGTCTGGGCGACAGTGAGACTCCAACTCAAAAAAAAAAAAAAGAAAGTAGAAGGGCTTTGATGAGAATATACTCAACATGCTTTTTTTCTTCCTCAGATGCTTTCCAAAGAGATAAGAAAGATTACACACAAACACTTAATGAAACTTACACAAAGGTGTACATGCACAAACATGCATTTGTACACAGACATGCACATATATGGTATGTAGGCATGCGTGCACACACACACACACACCCCTAGGTATGCACATATCCCAGAGACACTGGTGCTCTAGGCATGTACAGTTAGCTTGACATACCAATACCCTATATATATATAATATGTTATATATCATATGTTATATATATCACATTATATATGCTATATATTATGTGTGTTTATATAATAAATACTCGGGCATCCTCACATGCACATACACAGAGCACATACCCCACTCCCAAAACAAACTAAAAGACCCAAAGCCCTGAAGCAACTGGAGAAAAAACCCTGCCTCCTGCCGGGTGTGCCCCAGGGGCTGGAAAGAGGCTTGTCCAAAGGCCAGGCCCTTGGGAGAAAAACAACCAGGCAGTGCACACAGTGTGGTCCAGATGCTCACAGGTTCAGGGGCAAGGGAGCTGGGGGCTGGGCAAGAGTAGACAGCCTGGGGCTGTGGAGTCAGCCGGACCCTGGGTGGCCTGGAGTAAGCTCTGGTTACCAGGGAAAAGGTAAGCCCAGCAGAGGCAGACACCAGCTAGGGCGGGGGTGGATGGCTCAGTTGGTGGAGGGGCTGCTCCTCTGCTACTCTCGGGTGTCTGCAATTCGGCAAGTTTCTAGCACAGGAAACAGTGGGACAAAAGCCTTCTGTAAGGCCAGGCCCAGGAGAGGATGCAGATCCTCAGGGATAGGATGTCAAGAGGCAAGATGAAAGGGCAGCTGTGACCTGTAGCCCCCTGGCTGACCACAGGGCCCAGTCTGGGAAGGGGGAGGGGGCCACACTCACCTCTGTGCCGGTTGGTGGTTTTGTCAAACATCAGCATGGCATCGTCCACCTGAAACAGAGCCTGCCATGGAGGACCCACCAGACACCACAACCTAGCAACAGGGGCTCATGCAACCCACTCCCGTCTTGTCCACTCCAGGCATTCACTAAAATCTGCTCCCCGTGCAGGGAAAGCTTTCCATCTGTAACCCCCTGGATGCCACAGCATCCCCTGTTCAACTACTGGATTCTCAGTGGACCAGCCTGCTTTTGTTAAGCTCCAAATATGTGCCTGGTACTCCTTCCAACATTCCCTGAGTGGTAAGATCCCCATTTTGTAGACAAGGAAATAGACTCAGAGAGGTGAAGTGGTCCACCTAAGGTCACACAGCAAGACCTAGACCAAAACCGGGGAGTAGGAGGCACTGAGCAGGTGCCACAGAAGGAAATGTGGGAGGAAGATTATGAGACAGGGAAGCAAAAGCCCCTTCCCTTTTTGCAAAAGGCGAGGAGGATGGCAGCCAGACTGGACTCCCCTCTCCTGGTACAGATCTTTTCCTCTAATTGAAGTTTCCTTTTGCTAGAGGCTGTAATTAAAGCAAGTAGAGTTCAGTGCCTGGGCTGCTTGCCTCCCACTGACTGGGGGAGGGAAAGGGACTGCGGAAGGGGGAGGGAGGGTCTGCGTGATCCACCGCTCTTGGACCCCAGTCTACTTTTCTTGCTACTCCCTCCAGGCAATCTCAGATACGCTGACAGCCAAAGGCCTTAGCTTCTACCCCATGGTCCTGACTCCCTTCCTTTGCCTGCATCTGGCGCCTCCTCCCTGCCCTCTTAGTTGAGGTCTGATTCACCCTTGGTATAAATCAGGGGCTGCCTCTGATAACTCCTATCCCATTTTAGCCCCGACCCTCCCCTGAAAGGCCAGGTATCCAAAGGATAAAGAAAAACTTCCCTCAGGCCATGGGGCCCAGCCTCTTCCCCATTCTCCTTCCCTCCATTTCCAGGCCCATCATCTGCCTCATTAAAGTGGAAAGGGCAGACCCTGAACTAGGGTGATCCTCTAGTTCTCCTTAGGTGCCAAGCTACACTGGGCCTCTGACTGCCCCCTGGGAGAACCAGGACCCCACTGAGCCAGGAGGCAGTGGCCGGGAGGGGAGCCCTAGAGAATCTCAGAGGTTAATGACATCTCCCTTCCCAAGAAGGCTCCTGTCTCAGGGACCATACAGCAGAGTGCCACCCTCACTTCCATCCCTACGGACCCAATCCCCTGGGTCTTGATCCTGAATCAGCTGAACCGTCCAACCTGGGCAGTCGCTTCAGATTCAGCCCATCTTTGTGCCCTTGCTTAACCAACGGAAAACAGAAACTCAGAAGGGAGGACTGTGATCAAAGCACAGGCCTTGGGAAGGACAGGCTGTGGTAGAATCCTGGGTCCTGCATTTACTGGTCGAGTAACCTTGAGCAAGAAGTTTGACGTTTCTATACTTTGGTTTATCATCTGTGAAATGGGTATAAGTGTCTGTCTCATAGGAAGGAATGAAAAGAAAGACACTTAAACACTTTTTCGGAGACATGATCTCACTATGTTGCCCAGGCTGTTCTCAAACTCCTGGACCCAAGCAGTACTTCTGACTCAGCCTCAATACTTCTGACAAATGTGTACCACCACACCTGGCTTTGGGAAGAGTTAAATGAGACAGTACATCCAACACTCTGAACTCACAGTACCTGGGATACAGCAAGTGCTTAATAAATAATGGCTATTATTATTAGCTTCATTATGGAGGGGCTTGCGCATAGTCACGTGGGGGAGCGTGGCAGTGCTAGAAAGAGAGCAGCCCAACACTACTGCCTTGAAGGCTGCACGAGGACAGTGTGTCAGTTGGGGCTATGACCATGACCACCTGTCCTACTGCGAACCTTGACTTGTGCTCAATCAATATTTTTCGAATGAATGAATGAATGAGCTAGCCACACCTTCCTGCCTAATCCAACAGCTCTGAGTTCTTGCCTGACCCATACATGGATTCAGCCCAAACGACAGCCCTCTCCGCCCTCCTCTGCCCAACCTTGCAACTCCACCATCCCCAGCCCCTAGACCCTTCATCTTGGGCCTTGGCGGAACAGACCCCCAGTGGGGCGGCGGGGTTGAGGCCAGGGCAAGGGGCGAGGGAAATGGCTGGGGGTCCAGGTTACCCCCCGCCGGTGTCCCCTCCTGGGACCAGCTGAGGGGAGGGAGGCTCCCGGCCCGGTGTCCTTAATAGGCTTTGGTCTCCATGGGAACCCGAGGGCAGGGGGGCTCGGGCGGGGGGAGGGGAGGCGGCCGAGGCCTGCTGACCAGTGGGAGCCGCCAAGTTCGGCGGCCGCTAAGCCTGAGTGGCAGCCATGGCGGCTGACCATTGTTCCCCCCTCGGCGGCGGCCCCTCGATCCGGGCGGGGAGCCCCCCGCCGCGGGGCCCTTGGCATTCCCGGCTGTCCCCTTCGCTCCCTGGCAGCCTATTCTCCGGCTCCCCCTGGCCTCCCCGGGCCGGTTTCACATGCCAACGCCGATTTAGGCCCGAACAAAAGACGCGGCCGCTGACGGCTTCTCCTGGGGCCCGGTTGCCATGGCAACGCCGGCCCCGGGGGCAGGCGGCCTCCAATCACAGCTGCTGGATCAGATTAGTGCGAGCTCTAATGCTCGGCGCTCAGACACAAAGACACCCCGCCGGAGCCGAGCCGGGCCTGCTGCTTCCCAGGAGCGCCCTTCCC